CTGTACAATGGCATGAGCACTTCTTTCTACTGCTAATACCTCTCCCTATACAACCAAGCATTCTGCTAGCATTTCCTGCTGCTCTATTACATTGTCTGCCTACCTTTTAAGTCATCAGAAATAATCACCCCTAAATCCCTTTCCTCAGATGTTGAGGTTAGGACTCTATCAAATATTCTGTACTTTGCCCTTGGGTTTTTACATCCAAGATGCATTATTTTGCACTTATCCACATTAAATGTCAGTTGCCACAACTCTGACCATTTTTCTAGTTTACCTAAATCATTTGTCATTTGGCTTATCCCTCCTGGAACATCAACCCTGTTACATATCTTAGTATCATCAGCAAAAAAAGACATACCTTACCATCAAGACCTTCTGCAATATCACTAATAAAAATATTAAAGAGAATGGGTCCAAGTACAGATCCCTGAGGTACCCCACTGGTGACAAGTCCAAGCTTCGAATATATTCCATTAACTACAACCCTCTGCTGCCTGTTACTCAGCCACTGCCTTACCCATTCAACAATATTTGAATCCAAACTTAAAGATTGCAGTTTATTGATAAGCCTTCTATGTGCAACAGTGTCAAAAGCCTTACTGAAATCTAGGTAAGCAATGTCTACTGCACCACCCTGATCTATAATTTTAGTTACCCAATCAAAAAAATCAATAAGATTAGTTTGGCATGATCTCACTGAAGTAAACCCATGTTGTCTCTGATCTTGAAATCCATGTGTTTTTAGATGTTCAACAATCCTATCCTTTAACATGGTTTCCATCACTTTCCCCACTACTGAAGTAAGGCTTACTGGCCTATAGTTGCCCGACTCCTCCCTATTACCTTTCTTGTAAATGGGCACAACATTCGCTAACTTCCAATCTTCTGGGACTACTCCTGTTAACAATGATTGGTTAAATAAATCTGTTAATGGTTTTGCTAGTACACCACTAAGCTCTTTTAATAGCTTTGGGTGTATTCCATCAGGTCCCATTGACTTATTTGTCTTTACTTTTGACAGTTGAAATAGAACCTCTTCCTCTGTAAACTCACGTGTAATAAATGACTCATTTATCCTTTTTCTCAACTGAGGTCCTTTTCCTTCATTTTCATCTGTAAATACAGAACAAAAATATTCATTGAGGCAGTCAGCTAGACCTTTATCCTCTTCTACATACCTTCCTTCTTTTGTTTTTAATCTAACTAATCCTTGTTTTACTTTTCTTTTCTCATTTATGTATCTAAAAAATGTTTTATCCCCCTTTTTTACTGACTGTGCTATTTTCTCTTCTGTGTGTGATTTGGAAGCTCTTATAACTTGCTTAGCCTCTTTCTGCCTAATCTTATAGATCATTTTGTCTCCCTCACTCTGGGTTTTTTTATAATTCCTAAATGCTAACTTTTTGTTTTTAACTATTTTGGCCACATCTGCGGAGTACCACAGTGGTTTCTTGAATTTTTTGCTTTTACTGACAAGCCTAATGCAATTTTCTGTTGCCTTCAATAGTGCAACTTTTAAATAATCCCATTTTTCTTGGACTCCATTTAAATTGCTCCAGTCTGATAATGACTCCTCTACCCACATTCTAATTTTAGAAAAGTCTGTTTTTCTAAAGTCTAAAACTTTTGTTTTTGTGTGGTGTGACTCAGTCACTGTTCTTATATTAAACCATACTGACTGATGATCACTGGATCCTAAACTTTCACCTACAGTAACATCTGATACCAAATCTCCATTTGTTAACACTAAATCTAGTATGGCCTCTTACGAGTTGGCTCCTCAACAACTTGTTTTAGAGACAATCCCAGTAGGGAGTTTAGAATATGTGTGCTCCTGGCACAAGTAGCTAATTTTGTTTTCCAATTTACATCAGGAAGATTAGTCACCCATGATGATAACTTCCCCCTTCATTGTCATTTTAGCTATTTCCTCAACTAGTAGATTATCTAACTCTTCAATTTGTCCTGGGGGCCTATAAATCACACCTACACGAGTTACTGTGTGATTACCAAATTCTAACGTAGCCCAAACGGACTCTATGTTTGCCTCACTAACTTTTATTAGGCTAGATTTTATGCTATCCTTCACATACAAGGCCACCCCTCCCCCTTTCTTGCCTTCCCTATCTTTCCTATATAAAGAGTACCCTGGTATTGCTATGTCCCAGTCATTTTTCTCATTGTACCATGTCTCAGTAACAGCGACTAAATCTACACTATCAGTTGCCATTATTGCCACAAGTTCATGGATCTTATTCCCTAAACTGCGAGCATTTGTAGACATGACTCTAAGCTTATCATTTTTTAACACACTTGCTACAGGCACCTTCTGTCCTTGTTTTGGGGGACAATTGGATTGATGTTTTATCACCCTTTTGCCCCCCCCTCCTAGTTTAAATACATTCTAGCAAAACCTCTGAACTGCTCACTGAGAACATTTGTTCCCTTTTGAGAAAGATGCAAACCATCTTTTTTGTACAGCTTATCTCCATTCCATAACCCCTGTTTTCTCCTTTAGGGTACCGTTTAATTCTAGAAGGTACATACCTTTTTATTGCAGCTTGAAGTTGGTGGAAATCTCCAGTCATCTCGGTATGCATTGAGAATGAAACAGAATCTGATATTTAATTGGAAAGCTTAATATGAAAAATAACATCTTTTTATCACTCTCTCTCTCTCCTCTATAGTAAATAAAATATAGGTATAATTCCAGCAGGTTCATAACTTTTTTTTTTTTTTTTTCTCAGTTTGAAATTAGATCAGGCAGCCATTTTGCTGAACTTAGATTGTGATTTCTGCCCTGCACAGGGGACAGGTCCAATTTTCCTCCAGCCACTTATCCATGCACTCCATATGGAAACTGTGGCTACACTGCACCTGTTTGATGATCTGGCCAGGCTCATACACATCCAAGCAAATGCTGTATTCCTCTTGGTCATCAGCTCCCTGTGGGATAGGTTTTGGAGGGTCCTCATTTTGTGGAGACTCATGGTTATCCACAGCCTGGGCACGAACAGGTTGAGATGGCTCCTGAACAGGCACTGGCTGGCGATTTCCTTCTGCATTTTCACCAGCATTATATATGTTAGGAGGAGGCAGCACATTATTTGATTTAAGGGAGATCTGCTTCTCCATGGTCGTTGTCCATCTTCTCCTCCTTCACTTGCGGCTCTGTCTCTGCGCCTGCCAATCCTTCTCTTCCCTCTACCTGCTCCGCCATTTCCTCTTTCTGTTCCCCATCTTGATGAATTTTCTTCCTCTGTGTAGCCTTGCTATTCCCTGGTTTTGTCCATCATTTCTGGTGGGTCGTCTTTCAGGGACCTGAGGACTCCGGCTTCTCCCACCCCTCCTTGCTTCTTGCCTTGCAGATGGCATTTGTGATCTGCTTGTTCTGCGATTAGCATGCCTTCCTTGAGACCCTAATGAAAAAAGTTTAATTAAAGAGTTATTGCAAAACAATGACCCTCGTCATAAAACAAATTGTGGCATACCAGAATAGCCAATTTGGAAAATTTGCAAATACATGGTTTCATTTTGGCTAATTTGGCTTACAATTTTAACTTTCTTAGTGAATTAAATTCTCCTTTAGACTAAAGAATAAACATGGATTTTCCAATTATTAGGTTTACTACGTGGCATTATCTGTGATATTAGCAACATATGTTTAATAAAGCACTGTATAAAATGGCTCACTGAGTGTTGTGCATTAAAGGAACACACTACTTTATTTTTATATAATTACCCTTTTATTAAGTTTTCAATGGAAATACATTCTGTGTTAAATTAAGTGCATGGACAAAAAAAATGGAAAACTCATCCCTACCTTTTAGTAAATGACAGGAACCTTAAGCCATATACATGCTCCTTGGGTCAGATAGTGTTTGAAAACTGACAGTAGGTCTGATGATTTCACTGCACTGTGCAAAGTGTGAAGCAGGGCAGACCATCAAGACTGCATGTATATACACTGCATTTAAAAGAAGAATCAATTTCCTTTAAAAACTTGATTAAAGAATCATATTTAAAGATAATGTTGAGGTGGCAGTTTGTGCAGGTGGGCTACATGGGGCATCTCGACTGCCATCTGCAGTGGTAATATTTATTTTGCATAGAGTACACTGCTGATATATCAGAACCCTGAAAAAAATATATGGGTGCACTACCCAGACCATACTTTGCTCAAATAGAGGCCCTGCTCATATAATTGGTAGGACCCTCCAAATACCGTGTTCAAGAAGAGTGGGCTCAAATCAGTCAAAGTGTAGATATTTTATTATGAGCCACAGAACTCGCTTGAGTCTGGTTATTGCTACAAAGTATTATCAAGCCATCGTTGTTTATTTTACAGTTGAAAATAATATGTGAGGTTTCTGTTCTATTACGTTTGACATAACAAACAGAGGATACCAAATACTTTTGTCAATTTTTACTTGGTGCAGAAAAAGTTTTGCTTTAAAAAAACAATACAAAAAAAAAAACCACAGAAGGATGCCAGTACGTTCAACCACATCTGTGTATCCACTGAAAGCCATATGTATTGGCAATCACTCTGATATAGTACTTTTCATTAGCGTTTTCTTTCTGTGTGCATGCAAATTGCAATATACTGTACATCTTGAGAAAGCACAGTGAGAGGTCTCAACTTTATTTGTTGTCTTTAAATAAGTCATGTGAGTGCTGCCTAGATGTGTCTGCCAATCTATATTTCATTATAGTGTGTCTATATTCTATAAATATTTGTTTTTTCTTCTGATAAGAAATTGATTGCCTCTCTCGACAGGTGGATGATAAAGATGAAGAAAGGACTTTTGAAACGATACAACTTGGTAATTACATTTTAAGTATTGTGAACAGCATTTTTATTTCTAATTATATAGAACGGTTATCCATCAATGGCGATTAACATATCTTTCAGCGTACTTACTGCAGACATTTTGAAGTATACTGTCAAAATATATTCGGTCATGTTTCTTTTTAAACTGGAATTTCCTATAATAAATTGGCCATCAGCATAGACATAGGCAGACTTCTTTGTATGCTCACTGTACACATCAGCAGGCTACACTAACATGGGGTAACAGTGGGAAGGGGAAAAGCATTACCTGTTTTTGTACACCGTACCTTCAATGATTATCTCTCCTAGATGTATATCCAGTGCTCACTCTTTCCTTATTTGAAGCCTTTGTTACCCCTTGTGTGTACAATTTGACCCCCGACCACTATTATGTTGAGGTGAATATGATATCTGTGTGAAAAGATAGTGCATTTTAAAAGTCGCACAGCAAAATTTCTTTTCTTTTTTTTTTTCATTGGTGTTGTGTGTGTTTCAATTTTGGGATTATATATCAGTGTTCAGCATGTTGATTGAGTGTGGTCCACACTAGATTTCCCTTTGGATAAGACTTTCCTTTTTTTTTTGTAAGAAACAAATGTACATTCCTTATTTAAGGGTTACACTTCGAAGAAACTCATTTAAGAAGTATACTTGTTTTGCCTTTGTTCCTGGTCTATTTCCATTTTCAATATTTTTCTGTTCGTTAAATGCAGTTTTAATTGAAAAAAAATTAGTTGCTGGTTTTTATTTCAGTGATCTCATTAGATTTGTGCTTTATACTGTCAAACTGTAACAGATTTGGTATTGTTTTGCAGAGTCCATTCCCTTGATTGAGCCTTCTAAGCAGGACACCGAGCCACAGGTAAATTCGAGTTTTATCTCTGTTATGTTTTTGCATGTTTGCTGGTATATTGGTAAAAAATTTTGACTGATGGTGTTCTGGTTCGGACCTTTTGCATGCATTGCACACTTGCCTTTTTAACAGATTTGCTTGCCAATAAAGTAATGTGCAGGTCTGTTATAAAGTGCATTTCAGTTATACAGAGCACGGTCGTTCTTTACGCCCGTCCATCATTTTTAACAAAGAATCCAGTGCAATCTCTTTAATCCATTATAATGTATCTTTATAGTTACAGGCAATATCTCCATACATTACATGTGGCCCTTTCGGATAATAAAACAAATACGAGACAGCAGTTAAAAGAGATGCCATGTTGCATAGGAAAGGGATTTAATGTGTGTATGTAGTATGTGTTCTATTGTGTATGTGGTATATACATAAGTTACAATATACATGATTATTTATTACCAATTGTTTGTTTTTAAAATACAATTCAAACAATATAGTGTAGTGTTTTCACTTTTTTTTTCTCTTTGTACATATGATCAGAGTTCAGAAGAAAATGAAGAATCTACTTCTGTAAAGGCTAAGAAATCTACAGGGCGCAAACCACTTGTCAAAGTGAAAGGTATGCCAGCACTGAATTTAAAGGGTAACATTACTATTCAAGAAAACAAGCATAGGGGGAAAAAAAAATACAAAAACAAGTGAATTCAAACACAAGTTATAGTTTTATATTCTTAGAATATTTTTAACGTGTTTATATTCGGTGTGGATTGACAAATCTAGGTCACCATGGCAGCATAAAAACACCTATAGTTTTCCACCTTGTCTTAAAGGACCACTATAGTGCCAGGAAAACATACTTGTTTTCCTGGCACTATAGTGCCCTGAGGGTGCCCCCACCCTCAGGGTCCCCCTCCCGCCCGGCTCTGGAAGGGGGAAAGTGGTAAAAACTTACCTTTTTCCAGCGCTGGCGGGGAGCTCTCTGCCCTCTCTCTCCTCCTCCGGGGCTGAATGCCGTAGCGGCAAGAGCTCTGGCGGCGCATTCAGCCCGTCACTGAAAGCATTTACAATGCTTTCCTATGGACGCTTGCATGCTCTCACTGTGAAAATCACAGTGAGAAGCACGCAAGCGCCTCTAGTGGCTGTCAATGAGACAGCCACTAGAGGATTAGGGGGAAGGCTTAACCCATTCATAAACAGCAGTTTCTCTGAAACTGCTATGTTTATTAAAAAAATGGGCTAACCCTAGCTGGACCAGGCACCCAGACCACTTCATTAAGCTGAAGTGGTCTGGGTGCCTAGAGTGGTCCTTTAAAAAAAAAAAAAAAAAAAGTTCTTAAATGGGCATGCATCACTTTGAGACAATTCTTTCAAATACTTTAGCTTTAAATGAAACAGTTGCCTCACTCTGCAGGCTTAAAATAAAAAAAGCTGGTAGTGTTTGTTTTTTCTATATTTATCTGCTGCTTTTTTCTTTTGCTTTCCACAACCACTCTAGGGGGGGGGGACTGATCTACCCAATCAATGTCCTATCACTAGGAATGCAGGAAAAATGCGTTGGGTATGCTTGTGACATCCTGACAATGAGATTAGTATGCTCGTGCAAAGCAGGGGCTGATGTCGATTTTTCTCTCTCTCCTGCTGCTGAACAATTATTATTGCCATTTATATAGCGCCCACTTATTCCGCAACACTTTACATTAATATGATGTCCGGTTTCTGTTGTTAGTTGACTGGAATAATACTGAGATGGGTGGGCAAGAGAAGAAGGTGGCTTAATTAACTCCCTTAGCTGGAAATCATGTGCAATCTGACCAAGTGTATAGTAAGTTTTAAACGTTTATATCATACATACATACTTGTACAGCAGTGACGTCTGCTCCAGGCACTGAAGATGGCCATGCCAGGGAGGGGGGACAGTTTTAAATCTCACCTTTACCAGCCCCATTCCTGGCCACCATCAGACAAATTCTGCAAAGTCCCCAGACGGTGACAGAGCTGCTTTAAAACTAGCTTTCATCTCACAGCTAAACAAGAATTTGTCCAGTACTATTACAGTTAAGATTTGCTGAGAGGAGGCCATATTGATTTCCATGGGGAGTCTTCCCTGGAATCTGCTCAAATTGCTTAGATGTTTCCACAATCCTTTACATGGTGACTAATCTAGGAGTCTCTATTTGCCAGAGATGATCCAGTAATGAAGAGAAATGGAATTTTAGTTTCCATTAAAGGGACAATCCAGACCCCTAAAGCATTTCAGCTGTGTGAAGAGGGGGTCTATCCCCAGATATGTCAGACAACTGGCCCTGGTCGTTTAACTCAGTGTAGTGAAACTCAAGTGGCAGACCATTGCTCAGAGCACCTGCCTTGCAAAGACATTTTATTGAGCTGAATTGGGAAGTCTGTGATTAGTCAGCCACAGAAAGTCTGTGTTTGGGAAGAAGGGGAAGACTTGCAAAGGCAGCAGACAATAGACGTGCAGCTTTTGCAAGCTGTTTTTAGATATACCCTCAATGAAAAATGTATCTTTAAATGCATGTATGTTTCCATTGGATGCGATCTACTAAATAGTGATTCATTTACTTATTTGAAGTTTGGTCAGTGGAGTGTCCCTTTAAATGCTATGGCGAGGTGTTAGTTAAAAGACCAAGATTTTTTTTTGAGAAATGCTGGCGTGTCCCTATAAAGGACTATTCTTCACGTACTGTCACAAAAAAAAAAAAAGTATTTCTTCTTAATGATAAATCCTTTATCTTCTGAATGTTGACCACATATTCATGAAGCTTCTCTGTTACTTATTTGTGGTTCTTCTACCTTTTCTTATATTTAAACATTTTTGTTTCTCTCCTACCGTCGCCTTTTTGGCTATACATTAAAGCGGCACTGTCATGGCCGCATTTATTTATTTAACCCCTCCTTTCTACACTACATCTACTTGCCGTCCCCCATACCCATTACCTTTTTTTAAAACTTTATTTTGTGACCGGACCTAGGTCCTGGGTGCTGCCATCCCACTGTGGGACACATCATCTTCCCACACTAGATAGCGATGTGAAATTCTCGCGCATGCCCAGTTAAACACTTGGGCATTTGGATGGGAATTCCGTCCATTTATTTGTCAGAAAGACGAATAAATGAATATAAATTTCAAACGAATGAACAAAGACCTCTTCATTCGTTCTTTTGGTTTATTACAAGGAGGGAGCTACCAGTTTGCGGCTCCCTCCTTGTAATATGTGAAAATAGTACTTTTTTACAGAAACTGTTTGATCAGTCCATTATAAAATTATTTTTTTTGTTCATTTGAGTATGTATAGCCTATGTATAAGAATAGTTGGTGAAATATTAAAATCCTCTTTATTTTTGATAATTAAAATGGTATCAAATTAGCTATAGCGATGGATGTTTCAAGGGGATGTTAAAACTATAAACAAAAAAATAATAAAATAGTCATAAAATGCACTAAAGTTGTATAACTCAATTAAAAATCCACATGTGAGAAATTTATCAAGACAAAAATAGGTGCTATTATGAGACAGATTGCTTAATAAGTGCAGTCACCAGGAAACAAATTGAATGTCTCAACATATACCAGGTTTCACCTGTAATAGCAGATTTTGCCTTAACTCCCCTCCAGTATGATTCTTACATTTTGTTTGCAGTAGAATTGCATTTCATTTTACCAGTAAGATTAAATACTGTACCGATTTCCTTTACTACAGACGAAGGAGCAAAAGTAAATGAAGAAATAGAAAAGAAAAGCTCTCCCAATTTGAAAACTGATGAGGTAACTGCTTTATTACTCTTAATATTTCTTGTACTTGCATGTTGGCATTTTTACACTTTGTGTTATAATTATATTTCCTGGCTAATGATGGCAGAATATACATCATGGGTTAGCTCTGACCCTTACAGTTGTGAAAACACTTAAATCTTTAACCCCTTCCCGACCTCGGGCATACCAGGTATGTCCAACAAAAAAATGGTTGTTAATGACCTTGGATGTACCTGGTACATCTGATAGTAAATCCCCAAAAACTTTTACAAAGTTTGTTAAACTTAAAGGACCACTCTAGGCACCCAGACCACTTCAGCTTTATGAAGTGGTCTGGGTGCCAGGTACCTCTAGGATTAACCCTTTTTTTTTATAAACATAGCAGTTTCAGAGAAACTGCTATGTTTATACTGAGGGTTAATCCAGCCTCCGGAGCCTCTAGTGGCTGTCTCATTGACAGCCGCTAGAGGCGCTTGCGTGCTTCTCACTGTGAAAATCACAGTGAGAGCATGCAAGCGTCCATAGGAAAGCATTGTAAATGACGTCGCGAGCAAGGAGGAGAGGAGGAGTACAGCTCCCCGCCCGGCGCTGGAGAAAGGCAAGTGTTTAACCCCTTCCTCTCTCCAGAGCCGGGTGGGGGCACTATAGTGCCAGGAAAACGAGTATGTTTTCCTGGCACTATAGTGGTCCTTTAAATAAAAGTTTAGAAAAGTAAATACAAGTATTTAGAATATATATATAAAAAAAAAATCATCTGTGATGTACAAAAAAATCAATCGACGTTTCGACCCTACCGGGTCTTTTTCAAGATCGAAAAAGACCCGGCAGGGTCGAAACGTTGATTGATTTTTTTGTACATCACAGATGATTTATTAAAGCACCAGTTTTCCTATTAACCAGAAGACCTGTGAGTGCATTTTGATTTTGATTTTTGTTTATATATTTGACGCCAACAATTTGCACCCAGGCATGTGAGTTAAAAATTTATATTTTTTTGGAGTATTTATGTGTATGTGTAACCCTTAAAGTTCTTTTTTCATTTGGCATAGATTGGTGGTAAAATGGTTGCATGAAAAGAGTCAAAATACCCCAAGTTTAATACCTTAGGTTGTCTTCTTTAAAAAATAAATATATATACATGTGAAGGATTATTCAGGAATTCCTGACAGATTTCAGTGTTACAATGTAACTTGCGTTAATTTAAAAAAAAAAAAAATAAAAAAAAATTTGGAAATAGCAAAGTGCTACTTGTACTTATAGCTCTATAACTTTCCAAAAAATGTTAAGTACATGTTAACATTGGGTATTTCTAAACTCAGGACAACATTTAGAAACTATTTAGCATGGGTGTTTTTTGGCAGTTGTAGATGCGTAACAGATTTTGGGGGTCAAAGTTAGAAAAAGTGTGGGGTTTTTTGTTGTTTTTTTTTTGTGCATACTTTTATTTTTTTTTATTTGTATTCATTCATTGTTTACAGAATTATTGGTGGAATAAAACATTTTTAGAGATTACACGTTTCATGACAGGATTGTTGAAAATTGTTAAATAAAAATGGTCAAAAACTATTTTTATTCTTTTTTTTTATTATTATTATTTATTTTAAATACTTTTTTGGGGGGGGGATTTCCCTTGGACATGGAAATACTGTGAAAACATTAGATCAAAAAAAAAATTTTGTTTAAATTATACATTTAATGGTTACGAGATCCTGCTGATTCTCCCCCTAGGGAAACATACAAGATCCCCCAGCTACAACATGTAACATAGATAAAGTTGGCTGCCAGCCGGGTACCGGGATCAACTCAATATTCTGGTATGAGGGACTGACAATATTTTTTGTGCTGGTACGAACACAAGACATTATTAGATATATTTAATTTCCCCCCTGCCTCCACAAATCATGTTCTCCCATTTTTCATCTTTAACTGCCAAAACAATTGATTACAAAAAGTCGATTTTGAAAAAGCATGTTTCTGCTTCCAGGCTCTTTGAACAAGATTTTAACTGCCGCACATGTATGGATTACTAAATAAGTTTGTTCTTTTGAATATTTTGACAAATTCATGTTGTTAATCCTTTGGGCCTTTTCAATAAAATCAAAAGCCGAGGACCATAAAGTGCATATTTTTTTGCATTCCTAGAATATATGCATATAGGAACCTATTTGTTCACATCTCCAGGATTTATTATTGCTATTTGGAAACCTTTTTACTAATCTCATTGGAACATAATACCATCTATTGATGCATTTAAAGTGCATTTCTATTAATAAGAGCTCATGGATATTCTTATCAATTGATCTATATTTCTATTTCTATCTTTCTGTTCTTTATTATCCAGTATTTTGATAAATTTACACATTTAGCCTTTTATCTTTCTGCAGAAAATGTGTTTCTAGCATCACTGATATTGCATTATTTTCCAAAAGAGAATGTCTTCCCAAAAAAAACGTTTCACACAGATATAATTAAATGCTTCTCTTGCAGGCAGCTCATAAATATGTTGCAACACTAATTTTTATTTTTTATTTTTTTTATTGTACTACTTTCCATGAGATGATAGATCTTTTTGTATTCCTGCATTTTTCCAGTGTTCTAACTTTAAATCTTCTACGTTAATTTCAATTTCTTGAATATTCTAGAATTTCATAATTTTGTTGGATAAGTTAATTATTTTTTAATATTGTTCACACAGTGGTAGAATATAATTATGTATCAACAGCTTTATTTGTCAATCAATGTAGTTTTCCTATTTCCTAAGTTCTATATTAACATAGATACGTCTTTGCAGTGCTAGTTTTATCTCTAAATGGTACCAGTCTTCATTGATGAAAGTTGGATTATGCATCTTGTGGATGTGATCTATGATGCTGACATTATGATATTGTTGAACAATAGGAAAACCTAATCCACCCAATTTAGTATTTTTTGACATTATATCAGTGCTGATACGTGGTATTTTCCCTTTCCATGCAAAGTTTCTGAAGCTTCGTTGGATTAATTCTAACCAGGGAGTTGGGAAATTTAATGGCAACATTCGAAATAAACCCATTTGGGGAAAATATATACCTTAATAATGTTGATTCTGCCATACCATGAAATCTCTTTATTAATCCATTATTTTAACAGTATGTTCATAGATCTTAGATTATCTAGAAAGTTACATTCAACTATTTAATGTCTGATGGAATGATGACACCCAGATACGTGAAGGTCTTCCTTGAGAAGTTAAACCCATATCTACTACAAATTTGCTCTCGTTCGTTTTTATTTATATTATAGCATTGAGCAACAGTTTTAGTCATATTTAGTTTGCAGCCAGAAATGTGACTAAATCTTTCTAGTTCTTCTAACAAATATTTCAGAGATTTGTTTGGGTCCCCCAAAAAAACAAGGACATCATTCGCATATAAGCAAAGTTTTGATGTTTAATTGTGTACCCCTTTATATCGTTGTTTGCTCTAATTTTTGTAGCTAGTGATTCAATAGAAAAGATGTACAAAATGGGGGAAAGAGGGCAGTCCTTTCTGGTTCCGTTTTTTTTAAATTGAACTAGTCTGAACATAGATTCCTCCTCACCACCCTTGCTGTTGGAACAGTATTTAGCGATTTTATAGCACTAAGCATCCAATCATTCACGTGTTTTCAAAAGTTACAGAGTCAAACATAAGGCTTGCGTTTCAGTTTTTTCACATTGAAATTCGCCAGGTTGGTTATGTTGCGTTTGAGACAATGGTAGCCCAGGAATGAAAATTACCTCCATGATGGCATACTATTTGCAATAGTAGACAACCCAAGGTATTGTAGATGGGGTATGTCCAGTCTTTTTTTAGTAGCCACTTGGTCACAAACACTGGCCAAAATTGGCGTTCAAATTAGTTTTTTGCGTTTTTCACACACAAACAAATATTAACACTAACTTTGGCCAGGGTTTGTGACCAAGTGGCTACTAAAAAAGACTGGACATACCGCATTTGCAGTACCTTGGGTTATCTACTTTTGCAAATGGTATGCCATCATGGGGGTAATTCTCATTCCTGGGCTACCATACGGTCTCAAAGGCAACGTAACCAATCTTGCGAATTTCAATGTGAAAAGGCTGAAAAATTTAACATGCCATATTTGACCCTGTAACTTCCCAATACACCATAAAACCAAACAAATATGTGTATTTTATTGCAGTAAAAGCAAACCGTATTATGACAGTTAGAATGTCACGTAGAACTAATTTTTTTTTTTTAATTCTTATTTTTCCCCATTTAAAAAAAAAAAAAAATTATTCATATTAAATTGTTTCATACCTAAATATTTGATGTTAAATGAAAGCCCTCTTTCCCCTGAATAAAATGATGTATAAAAAGTGTGGGTGCACATAATATGAAAGAGGTGAATTACGCCTGAACGGACATATAGCGCAACTTCAAGGTTTTGTTTTGATCACAACGTGTACATTTGGCTCAGTCCTTAAGGGGTTAATGGCGTGAAAAACGGTATATAAAATGTGTGGGTACAGTCAATGAGTAAGAGGAAAATTACAGCTAAACACAAACACCGCAGAAATTTAACAGCAGCCCTGGTACCAAACGGTGAGAAAATTGAAAAGCGGTCTGGTCACTAAGGGGGTTAAAGGAGGACCCTGTCTTTTTTTTTTTTTTTTTTTTTTCCTACAGCCATTAGGAAGGGAGCTACCAGCTCTCAACAAGCTAAGTTCTACTATTTAAATGTAATTTATTTGATACTAGATATGATTATTATTTCTTATGTGTGCTTGAGCACACTCCTCTGTTTTATAAAAAAAAATTTTTTTTTTTTCTTGTTTCCTAAAACTTAGAACTTATAAGGAGTTCTAAGTTTTACCTCTGGGCATGGGTCCCCGGTAGGTGTCCCATGCTTCCTGGTCTAAAGTAGTGTTTCCTACCCGGTCTTCTAACACGGCAGACTCACAGCGATCAGAAGACGCCCAGGCATGCACAGTACCGCATACTTGAGGCCAAGTACTATGACGCGAAGTGTGGGAATTTTCATAACTTGGAAATGTTATATATTGTATACAGCTATGAAAGTGCTGTAGAAGTTTGCACTTTTCTTTAAAATCTGTGACAAACTGTGGCGTGCGTTTGTTCGTCTGTTTCCTGGAGAATGTGTACATCACTTGAACTGTT